GGCGGTTGGAGGGTCGGGCAGGAAGTGTCTCCAGGAGGGGACCTGGCAGCCAGCCTTCCAGTCAGAGAAGCCTCAGGCAGAGAAAGGGGAAGGAGGCCCTGGAGGAGCAGGAAACTGCGGCCACACCAGCACCAGGGCCTGGGCGGGAGGGAGGGCTCCGTGCAGGAGGCAGCAGAGCCGTGGCCCCCCAGCGGGGGGGGGGCGCCCAGGAGGCCGGGGGAGCTGTCCAGGGCTGAAGGAGCATCGCCTGCCCTCCGCCCAGCCCGCCTCCTCCAGCCCTGCACAGCGGAGCCGTCCACCTCTGGGGTCCGCCTGCCCCAGGAGCCTCAGGCTGGGGGCCACAGCGCTGCCTCAGGAGGAGGAGGCCAGCTGTCGCAGGAGGACTTCTGCCCCTGTGCAGGGTCCCCGGGTGTCCGAGGGCAGGGCTGTGCTGACTGGGAGGAGATGGGAGTGGGGGCCGGGAAGGCGGCGCCCTGGGCGCTCCCCTGCTGGCCTGTGTCAGATCTGTGGGGTGTGGGCAGGGCCGGGCCGGGACACCTGTCCGCCCTGGGCCTGCCTGCTGCTCCACGACCTGACCCAGGACGCACCCTGGGGAGCAGTCCAGACAGGCCAGCAGCACTTCGGGGCCCCTCAGGACCCCCTGGAAGCCCTCGCAGTCCCCTAGTGCACTTGTTGTCCTGTGGTGGCTCCTCCCTCCCGGCACAGGCCACATTGCTGGGAAAGGGCCAGACGCGCCGGCGGGCAGGGCCCTCTGTCAGACGCTGGGCTGTCCTGAGCGAAGGGCTGCAGGAGGGGCCCCAGAAAAGTGGCTGCGGCCGGGTTTGTCTTGGGGCACAAGGATGGTCACAGTGGGGGCGCGGGGGAGAGACAGGCAGTCCAGGCGCAGGGGCCCCAGAATGGCCTGCCACCCTGGGGCCCCAGGCCAGAGTGCACGGCCCGGACACATGGCCTCTGCGCATCGGGACTCTGGCGTGTGCCGGTGGTCACGGGCGGAGTGACAGCTCCAGAGCCTGGAGGCCGTCTGATCAGAGGACCGAGGGCTTTGCCACCCCAGGTGTGCCGCCAGCTTCTGGAGACGGGGCAGCCATCCTTGGGCGCCCCCTCAACCCCTGCCCCTCCTGCCCCTCCCGCCCCTCCTGCCCCCCGCCACTCAGCCACATTCGCTGAATGAATGATGAATGAACGAATGTGCGAGCGAGCATGGTGAGGCCTCGGAGGCCACGTGGAGGCATTTGTGTGGGGACAGAGGAGGTTTCTGAGGGAGAGAGGTGGCAGCTGCAAGCTTGGTGCTGGAAGGCCTCCTGCAGGAGGCCCCTCGGTGGCCTTGGCGGCACCTGCCGCTGTGCCAGGTGGGGTGGCAGGTGGCCGGTAGGGGGTGGGGGCCGGGGATGGGGTGTTTCTCACAGGAGGGGGCAGAGTGCTGGGCACCCAGTCCCCTGCCCCCTGCCCACATGGGTCAAGGCCTTGGCTCTCCCTGCACTGCACACCACTTCCACGACGCAGTCCCCCTCTGCCGTGCTGGGGGGCAGTGCACGGAGATGAGCCCCAGGTCACACCCGAGGCCTCGCGGTGGTGGCAGGGTGAGAGCTGGGCCTGGGACAGAGCAGGTCCTGGTTGAGGGCACCTCGAGCCAGAGAGCTGGACCCGCACAGCCAGCCCCTCCCCGTCCGCGCCCCCGCTGCCTGGCCACCACTTCTGCCCGCCTAATGCAAACCCTTCCATGGCCACACAAGTGCTTCTCTATTTTTATATATTTTTTATTATGGAAAATTGCAAATATGTACCAAAGCAGGGCGTCTAGCACAGAGAACGCCATGTCTCCTGCTGCGCCATGGTCAGCTCCCCCAACTCCTGTTTCACTGGCAGCCCTCACCCTGCAGGGTCTTCCATGCCACCTCGCCCGAGGACACTGGCGTGTGGGCTTCCAGCAGACGAGAGCCTGTTGAGACCAGCCATAGTGCCACCTGGCACCCAAGGAGCGAGGGCTGATTCCTGACCTGGTCCCCGTGCTGGCCAGCCCCCTGTCGTCCACAGGAGGAAGCCTTTCCCAGGTGGCTCTGTGGTGGGGGACCGCCTCTCTGTCCCTCTGGGCTGCAGCTCCCACCGCTGGGTCCCCTGCGGGGCTGAGAGGCTCGGGGCGGAGCTGATGGCCTGGGCTTATCCAACTGCCCCTTCGAGAGGTAGGAAGGACAAGGGAGGGGGCCACGGGCCCAGCAAAGAGAGGGCTCCCTGGAGGCAGAGCAGCTGCAGGGTGGGGTGACAGGGCAGCCTGGCCAAGAAGGGGTCCTGTCCCCTGCCTCTCCCTCCCTTCCTCTGGGGAGCTGAGGCCAGTCTGACCGCTCAGGTGAGCCCCAGGCCCAGGGCCTCTGGGGGAGAAGCGGCCCTCCCAGGGTGAACCGTGTGGAGGTGGGTGTAGGTTTGAGGTGGAGCTCAAGGGTGTTTCCTCACGATGGGCCTGTGAGGTTTTCCTGTGAGGTGGGAGGGACAGGGGCCTGTGAAGAGTGAGCAGGAGCTGGCGTGTGGAGGAGGCTGGAGGGGCTGGGGGACTGTGAGAGAAGGACCTGGAGGCCAAGAGCCAGCCAGCGGGCACAGGGCAGGGCTGCCCAGCCAGCAGGGGAGGAAGGCGGGTGGATGCCCTGGGACCCACCCGCACCAGTCACCTCCTCTCCCTGCCCCCACAGGGACCTCCCCCCTCCCCCTCCCCCTCCCCCTCCCCCCTCCCCCTCCCCCCTCCCCTCCCCCATAGGTCTCGGTTGTCCCCCTCCCCCTGCAGTGGTGTCCTCGTCATTCCCCCTTCAGTACAGTGACGACAGGGGCAGATAACGGCCCCCTGGCTGGCTTTTGGCCAGACCAGTGGGATGCGGAGGGTTGCTTCCCAGACCTGGACTCTGTGAAGAGGGTCCAGAGAGTGTGGCAGGAGCAGAAGCCCGTGTCCTCAGCTTCCCGGGGTGCCAGCCCAAGGCTGGGCCCAGGCCCAGAGGCCTACGGTTCCAGGGGTGCCCGGGTCCCAGCCCCCACCAGGCACTTGGGGCAGGGCTGGCACCAGGGTGAGGCAAGGGAGGCCCTGGCCTCGCACAGTAACTAAGAGCCCCCCAAACTCAGTTGTCAAGGTGGACAGTACTTCACTGCGGTACTGTAATACGGCAGGGGTCACACAAAATCCACGGTGAATCAGCATTTCAGATAAAGGCAAGATGGAGGGACGGGCAGTCCTAGGCTGCAGGCTGCAGGCTGCAGGTCGAAGGCAGACTGGCCCCTGCCCAGCCCCCAGTCAGGCTCTGAAGGCGCCGCAGTGCCGCCACGCAGGGCCAGGGGCTCCCCTCCACCCGCCACTCAGATGGCCACGTCTCCCTGTGGACAGTCAAGCCCCCTTCCCACCCAGCTGCTGCGGGCAGAGGCCTGTGCTGGGGATTGTGAAAGAGAGGTTGTCAGCTCCCTCCCACCCGCCTGCTCCGCCTCCAGCCTCTGCTTCCCAGCTCGAGGCCTTGCCCACAGGCCCTCCCATCTTCCAGGAAGCCCCTCCCCATCTCTGCCTCCTCCCACCTCCCAGGACCAGCTCAGTGCCACCTCCTTCTAGAAGCCTCCCGGTCCTGACCTGCCCTCCGTGAAGCCCCACGCTGTGAGTGCCTGCCCCACTGTGCCGGGCGAGCCCACCCGGCCACCTCGCCCGCCCAGCTGTGTCCAGCAGGGTGGGCATGGAAGAGGGGCAGACCGTGGTGTAGAGTGAGGTGGCGTGGGCGCAGAGCAGCCTGGGGAGGAGAGCCCGGGGTGGGTAAGGCCCTCGGCCAGTGGCCGCACTGCCCAGCGAGGGACACCCCGCCTGATGTCCCCGCCTGAGCGCCCACTCCCAGGGCTGTGCTCCCTTCTGGACCCTAAAGGCGGGGGCATTGCTCCCACCCCAGGTGAGGGGCTGGGGGCAGGCGGAGCTCCTGGAATCTGCCAGGTTCCTGGGCCACATCCAGCAGCCGCCTTTGGAGTGACCCCACCTCCCAGGCCCTTCCCTCGGGGGCTCATCCAGACAGCACAGTGATTCGCACCTCACGTGTGTCTGTGGCTTCCCCTCAACCCCAACTGCTCAGAGGGGCGGAGGGTCAGGAGGAGGGGGCAGGAAGGGTCCTCCTTCAGACCAGCGCCTGGACCCCCGCCACCCGCAGGCCTGCCGCGCTGCTCTCCTGGGTCAGCAGGTGCCAGGCAGGGGAGGAGGGTGCGGGGACTGAGGGAGAGGGGTGGCGTGGGGCGATATGAGAGGACGCCTCGCAGGTGGAGCTCTGCCTGGGCCCCAGGCTGCGGGGCTCCACCATGGGTGCCGGCCGTGGGGCCGCAGGGCCCTGGTCACTCCTTCTCCGAGGAGGGTCGTTTATGGTTCTGAGGTGGCCCAGCAGCGAGACTGGGCCTAGTCTGGAATCTGAGGCCTGCCTGGTGGGCCAGGCCTCTCGGACCCCCCGGACTCAGTGGACCTCGAGGAGAGGACCCGGCCCTGAACTGGGAGGGAGGCATGCGTGGCAGAGGGAAGGGCCGCGGGGCCGCGGGGTGGCGGGGGGAGACGCCCCTCCCCGCTCCGGGAGGCCCAGAGCTTCGGCCACGGTGTTTACAGAGCGCTGCTGTGCACCAGGAGTCTGCTTAGTGCTCGGGGATGCCGGCCACCCAGTTGGATTCTCCAGCTGGGGCTGCTGCTGACGGGGTGACAGGATTTATTCAGGCCCTACTCTGTGCGGGAACAGCTGGGGGCTCAGCCACAGGCAAGGTCTAAGGATGCAGAAGGGCTACTTTCATTCCGGAGTTCAGGGGAGGAAACCAGACGGGGAGGGGCTCGAAGCCGTTCAGCGAGAGGAGGCTGGGGAGGCTGGGGGCAGGAGGAGGGGGCTGGACAGAGAGGCAGCGAGAGGCAGGAGGGAAGGCAGAGGACGGGCCCACGGTGGGGACTGTCAAGCCTGGATCCGGACGGTGGAGACCAGGCCCCCCTCAGGGGCCTCTGGGTAGGGTCCCTGGTCTCAGGGTCAGGAGGCCTGGGCCAGCCGCTGCCCTTCTCTGGGCCTCGCTTTCCGCCTGTGAAACGGGCAGGGGCCGGGTGGAAGCTCTCCCCAGTCCCTTGCAGTGTGTGCGGAGAGAGGTGCTGCGGAGCCCAAGCTGAGGGCACAAGGCCCTGCCCTCAGGTGTGTGGGGCTGGGGGGCTGGTCTGCGGGGGAGGGATAGCCCCTCTGTGCAGGGTCTCCCCGCCCTGAGCTCAGAGTGGAGAGGCCTGCCGAAGAGCACGTCCCCTGCGGGCCTGGAGGAGCTGGGCAGGAGAACGTTTTAGACTGGGGAAGGGGTGGTCTGGAAGGCAGGCTTCTCAGGAGGTGGGCGTGAGGAGGCAGCTGGTGGAGGGGCGGGCAGAGCAGGGCAGAGCGGCAGGAAGTGGGCCGGGCACCTGCGTCCACACACGCTGGGGGTCGCCCGGTCGGCGTGGGTGCGGTGCGTGTGAAGGTGCCTTCCCACGAGCGTGCTGGGCAGGAGCCAGGGCAGAGGCGCTGACCGCAGCCACTGGGAGCTCAGCCCCAGGAAAGGCTCAGGACTCTGCGGAGTCAGTCTGGGAGAGGACGCCTTCCTCCCGGGGAGGGCTCTGGTCCTTCTAGCACAGGTTGTTTCAGAACAAATGCTCTGTGTCAGCGAGCACGCTGGTTCTCTGGAGGTGTTGAAGCTGGCGGCCACTGGCACCCCGCTTCCTCTCCCAGAAATTCCCCCAGGCAGCCCTGGGCTGGGGCTGGCGCAGGCGATGGGGAGTCCCGTCACCCCCGCTCTGCTGTCATCACCCGCCCACCGCCTGCCTGCCTTAAGGACGGGTGGCCCAGGGGGCTGGCTCACTCCAGCCCAGCTTCCCCACCACTTCTCAGGCAGCCCCTGCACAGGCTTCCACAGGTCAGGGGGCAGATGGCTCCTCTGGGAAAACTGAGGCTGACTGCAGGTCTGTGCCAACTGTGGGACCAGGGGTCTCAGCAGGGAGGGCTGTGAGGGGGGTTTGCACCCCAGCGGAGTGTCCGGATGGACATGAGTGTGGTCAGCAGTGCAGAGAAACTTGGGGTGTCTCCTGGGGCCTGGGCCCCCTCCTCCTTCGTCTCCGAAGTCTCTCCGTGGGCTGCGACCAGCACGTGAAGCTGGAGGAGGGAGTGTCTGAGCGCTGCGTTCCTAGCACAGTGAGCGCTGCTCTGGGAAACTCGCTTCACTCACACACCCCTGTCCTGGATCCTGGGCGATTTTGAAAGTGGGGTCCCAGCTCTGGAGGTCTCTATTGTGCCTGGGCGACGAGTCTGCACCCCACTCTGCCTCAGATCCCATTTAGGGAGTCTGCCGGGTTCCCAGGGAGCAGGGTGCAGGCAGGGCCGACCAGACAGCAGAGGGCTGGCTGGAGGCTGCCGTGTGCTCACATCTCCCAAAGGCGACCGGACGTCTCTTCAGCTGATGGCATGGTTATCTCAGTGCGGAATCAGAGGGTGGCTTCCGATCTCCGCTTGAGACAGCAGACTGATCTCACCATCAGCAGGAAGCGGTGCCCCTGAGGTGCTGCTACCCCTCCAGGGACAGCCTCCCCGGCAGGAAGCGGCCCCGGGCAGCGGAGTGCTCTGAGCACTGGCCGGGCCAGGCTGCAGGGGGCCCCAGGCAGCCTAGAGCATTCTGCAGAGCAAATGTTGGAGGTGACGGGTCTGCACACCTGAGCAGGACGCTGCTGGGCTCCGTGTCCTGGATGCGGGACCCCGTGCCGGTGCCCGGCGCTGGCAGGGACCTGAGCTGGTTGCCGTGGCTTCTGGGGACCCCCTGCTATTTGATATGGACCTTGGGATTTGGCTTCCCAAACACTTTTGGGAGGCACCCCAAAGGACAGAGGTGAGACCCCACGGACGGGTATCACTTCAAAGTCTCCTGAGCACCTTAAGATGCGTGCAAATTGGGTGCCCTTCTCCCTGATGATTAGGAGTTTGTTTTATTATAAAAGGAAATTTTAAAGACTGCAGTTAGTTTTTTTAACTTTCCCTCACAAAATATCAAGCTAGACTGAAAGTTGCCCCCCTGGGGGTTGGGGACCAGGGCCCAGCCCCAATCAGCTGGCTGGGTGGGGGGCATCAGGGGAGGGGCCAGGCCTGCTGCTCATGCAGAAGGGGCTGCAGTCGTCCGCTGTGGCGGGCACCGCTGACCAGGGCGGTGAGGGGCCGTGTGGGTGCTTCTGACCAGGACATGGTGGAGGACGCCCAGTTCCACCCCGAGGCCGGCTCTGAGCCGTTGGTCTGGGCCTGGAGGGGCGGGGCTGCCCTCATGGTCCTGACCATCGGGAGCGCAAGAGGCATTCCTGGCCCCAGATGGGGCTCAGGCCAATTTAAGTGGGACCTCAGGGCAGAGGACTGTGGTAGCCATGCTCTCTGAGGGACAGAGTGAGGCAGGCCAGTGCCCGGAGGGGCCCCAGCCACCCCGCCTCTGGTGGGGGTGACGGGCAGCTCTCAGCCTGGCAGTGGGGGGAGGCAGGAGGGAGACCAGAGTTCTGCACTTTGCCGGAGGGCGGGCTGGCTGAGCCACAACCCCTGCTGTCCTGGACCGCAGCAGCCAGTGGCCAGGTGGGGGACAGGCCAATGCCCGCTGAGGTATGGGTGTGGGTCAGACGCAGGTACCTCCTGTAGCCGGTTTGGGGACGGGGTGGAGGGGGCCACGGGCCGCCCTGGGCTTTGTCCTGAGCCTCTGAGTCCTCCCTGGTGAGGATGGCACTGGGGCTGGTGTGAGACTGGCCACCCTCTGGGCCACCTGTCCCGAGAGATGGTGGAGTTGGCACAGCGGGGCCTGGAGGTGGACAGTGAGCACCTGCCTTGCTTTCTGACCAGCAGCAAACAGATCCCTGGAGAGGAGGGCTGGGGGAGGGACGGAGATCTGGTTCCAGTCCAGGGCTGGCTCACTGCCTCCTTGCCTCCGCAGGCCTCTGAAGGCCTTGGTTTTCCCACCGTCCAGCAGGCAGGGCAGGGTGACCTGGAGGGTGCCTCGGGGCTCCTGGCAATTTCCGTGACTTCTCAGGGAAGGTGGAGTTTGGGCTCCTGAATGTGGGTGGGGCGCACCTCTTGCATCCCTGGCCAGAGGCGGGTGGGGCCTGGCCGCCCAGGCTCCCCTCGCTGCTGCCGCCTCACGCCCGCCCCCTCCTGCAGCCCCAGGACCATGAACAACAGCACCTGCGGCCAGGAGAAGCCTGGCAGCGCCCAGGTCCTCTACACCTACACGGGCGCGCTCCTCGTGCTGGGCCTGCTGCTCAACATCTGGGCGCTCTGGGTGCTGTGCCACCGCCTGCAGCGGTGGACGGAGACCCGCGTCTACATGGCCAACCTGGCCGTGGCCGACCTCTGCCTGCTCTGCGCCCTGCCCTTCTTCCTACACTCCCTGAAGAGGAAAAGCCCCACGGACACGCTGCTCTGCCAGCTCTCCCAGGGCGTCTACCTGGTCAACAGGTACATGAGCATCAGCCTGGTGATGGCCATCGCCCTGGACCGCTACGTGGCCGTGCGGCACCCGCTGCG